ATTTATTGATACTGTATTACTTTTTGGAGGTGACATCTCATTTTGGGTTTATGTAGGGTGTGAGGTAGTCTGCTTCTTCTGTGTCATTGTGGTGGACTTCTCCCCTTTTTTAAGCCTGAGGCCTTAGCAGGCTCTTGGTCTGATAACCTTGGCTCAGGAAGTCATTGCTCCAGATGAGGGCATGGTAGCTACCCTGAGTTTCTCTCTGATCCTTTGACTTAAGGGAAGATTTGCTTCAGCTGGGGAGAGATACAGCCTGATAATTAGCAGCCTTCTCTGTCAGGCAACTTCTGCAGCTAGTCATGTCCAGTGCAGCTAGTCAGGTCCACAGGGTCCACAGCTCAAGGGTGCTCGCTCAAGCTCTGTGAGTGGGGAGGAAATGGTTTCACCTGTGATATTGGTACTCCTGGCATGAGGGGCAGTGGCGGGGTGGCAGTAGGTCGTCCTCCAGGAGGTGGTGATAAGGTTTCCAGGTATAGGGGCTGGGTCCTCCAGACAGCAGGGTCAGGGGTCTAGTGGTCTGGGCAAGAGAGCAGTCCAGGCCAGACTAAGACATTTTAAAGAGAGTTACTTTGCTAATCAACTGGAAGAGATCCACAGTGTGGTGGTGGAGACCTCAAAGTGGTTTTCAGAGGCTATAAATTGCACAGGAGATTGCCCATATTTCTCCTGAAGTAGAGCTTGTGGATTCAAGCTACATGTTGTTAGGTTGACAGTGCAACTATACCCCTAGGTAACTAGACTTTTTATAGATCTTGTTATTATGTACTATCAAGTCAACCACGACTCATCGTGACCCTATGAACAACAGCTCTGAACCTTGCCCTTTCCTGTGTCAACCTTACCATCTTTGACACACCAGACCCCATTGCCTCAGTAACTGTGTCAATCCTTCTCATCCAAGGTCTTCCTCTTTGTGCTGATCCCTCACCCTTCCAAGCATGATGTCTTTTCTCCAAGGACTGGTCTCTCCTGACAGCATGCCTAAAGTATGTGAGACAGAGTTTTAAAATCCTAGCCTCCAAGATGCAACCTGCCTTCATCCTCTCCAGAACAGACCTGTTTGGGTTTTTTGGCAGTCCATGGTATATTTAATACTCTTCTCTAGCACCATAACACAAAGATATTGATTCTTCTTCAGCCATCCTTGTTCACTCTCCAGCTTTTAGATACATAACAAGCAATTGAGAAAACCATGGCCTGGATTAGACAAATCTTAGTCTCTTTAATGACATTGTTGCTCTTTAGTGCTCTGGAGAGGTCTTTGACAGCAGACATTCCCAGTGCACTTCGTCTTTTGATTTCCTAACTACTGGTGCCAAGGGTGTTGATTCTGGATGCAAACAAGGTGAAATCATTAACAACCTTGATCTTTATCTATCACTTACTGGCCCAATGGTGAGGATTTTTGTTTCCTTGATTTTGAGATGCAATTTATATTGAAGGGTGCAGTCATTGATCTTCTGCAGCAAACACTTCAAGTCCTCCTCAATTTTGGCAAGGAAGGTTGTATCATCTGGATAACACAGGTGGTTGATGAGCCTTCCTCTATTTCTGATGTCTCATTCTTCTTCTTAAAGTCCAGCCTCCCAAATGATCCATTCAGCATATAGATTAAAAAGGTGCAGAGAAGGGGTACACCCCTGATGCACTCCTTTCTTGATTTTGAACCATGCAGTGTTCCTATAGATCTTAGATTTCCATAAGCCCAAATGCTTCAGATTTCAAGCTTCAATACAAGATGACAGTTTACATGAAGTGCCTGTGATGTTGCCTACAATATGTCAGCACTCTTCCCATTTCTGTTTTCTTTCATGCACATTTTCCCTCTCTTCCTATCTTCTCATCTTTACTTTTGGGCAAGTGTTGTCTTTTGGATTTTCTAAAACTGATTGTTTTAAGGACTATGTTTCTCTGTGGTGTGGTGTTTATTTTATGTAACTGCTTTTTTTGGCTGAAGATAATTTTTCTTTTTTTTTTCAAGACTTAAAGGCAATGTATGACAAAAATGTTTCTTTATTGAAAATATTCTAAGAATATACCCTACTCAACTGTATTTCTTATTTACTATCTTTTTTTATTCTTATTTTAATTTTAGCTAAAAGAAAATTTAAGGAGCACAGAGCGGAAACATCAGGAGACCCTTAGAAGACTGGAAGGAAGGTTTTTTGAAGAAAAGGTAAATGCTATTAGGATTAATTGGGAAATTTTATTTTATTTTATTTTATTCTTCTCTTTTCTTCTCTTATTTTATTTTTTTTTGTGTGTGTACCATCAAATCGGATCTGACTGGTACAGGAGGAGATTGCCCCTCCTTCCCCGGCAGAGCATCTGGTGGATTTGAACCACATGCCTCTGGGATTGCAGTGCAGCTTCTTGCCACTAGGCCACCAGAGCTCCCCCAAGGGAAATATTTTCTTTAAGAAACTGTGCAGTCTGCTTCCATAATGATATAAAAATTCTCAGCTGACCCACTCAGCTGATTCATGAGAGTGTTCAGGTCGTGTAATTCATAGGAAATCGCACTCCTAAACCAAAGACAGCATCTGTCTAATGAGAAAGATGGGCAGTCTCCTCCGTGTAATTTACAGCTTCTGAAAATCCACTGGAGGGTAAGCTATGAGTCACTTGCAACTCGGCAGCAATGAGCTCTTTTTGTTTTCTTTAATAGAAAAATATATCCACTTGCCATTTGTCCTCTTATTAGAAAATTAAAGATCATTATCAAATCACAGCTGGATAAAAAAACAGGGAAAGCAAAACCCGAGCCCTTTTAGAAATTACTGAAATGTCTTCTATAGAATAGATTGTCATTTTACAGATTGTCTAGGCATATTGCTTAAGGTAGCTAGCTGCTAACTGAAGTGGCCACAGTTCAAATTCATTAGCTACTCTGAGAGACAAAGATGGACAGTCTCTTCCCATAATGATTTTAAAACTCAGCTCATTGGTCCCTATCTATGCATTTAAGGCAGCTCTGCCGCCTTCCCCAGTTCTCTGCACGCACATCCCAGAGCCTGTTCCGCTGAGATGATGCACATAACCTTGTAAAGCAACAGCGTTTCCAAGAGCCTTGTCCTCTGAGTTAGGAGGAAGGGGTTCTCTGGCAGCAGGGAGAAGGAACATCACCTTCTGCTACTTAGCTGCTGCCTCCAGCCCCTAACCTCTCCTTCCCAAGGCATTTGTCAAGGAGACTCAGGGTCCAGAAATCAAGTTTCCCAACTACCAAAGCCCCAACAGACTCCCCTTAGAGAGAAAGAGAATGATCTCTCCCCCAAAGACCTCAGGCCTGTTCCATCTTGCTTCATCCACCTCCACCTCGATTGCACACTGTTTCTGTACGGGCTACACCCTTATTGGCCTCAGTTTCTCTGCTACCCTCCCGCATCCCCAAAGTGGGGAAAAAAGCCAGGTGAAACAGTCGCCTCCTGGTGGTGGAGTGAGGTATCGCATCTCCCTACTCCAGTCTGACCAACCAAGGAACCTTATGCTTATCTCCTCGCTCGCCAGGCTCCTCTATGCTACAAGATACCAGGGACTTTACCAAAGCCACCCCCATCGCCTCGGCCCTCTGCACCCCTCCTCCCTTAAGGAACAGAAAGCCATGATGTTTTTAAGCAGAACCTACAGAACCCAAGCTTTTCTTTAGTGTTCAAAGCTATAAAGGAGGTGGCGGGGATGATGGTGGTGGTTTAAATTCAGCTCATTGTTATTCAGTCAGAAATAACTCATAACTGACCCTTCAGAAGGTTTTCAGTGGCTAGAAATTAATAACATAGGAGGAAATTGCCCATCTTTCTCCTGAGAAGCGATTAGTGGAGTTGACCCACCATGAACTCCTCTACTAGAGCGTTATGCCACCAGCTTCAGGAGCCTGTTTATTTTTAGAGGGGCAGCAGTGATGTCTGACCCTATAATAGGGAGCACTGGTGACTTAGTCGTAAGGACTTTTCCTGCCAACTTAAAGGCATGCGGTTCAAATCTTCCGGCTGTTCCCTCCCATATGATGCACTGCCTCTGCAAACCGCTGGAGGGTCAGCTGTGGGTCAGCTTAGACTCCACAGGACCAAACAGCACAACAGCAGCAGTGGTGTCCTCACTCTAATATCTTCTTTTTTAATATTAGTGAAGGTTTGTTGGTGTTATTGATCTTTTAAAAAATCCCAAATTTGGTTTTGTTTATTCTCTTTGTTGTCTCATTATTCTCTAATTTATCTGTTTGGTTCTTCATTATTCATTTCTTCTGGTAATTTTTTTCTTAATTACTCTTCTTTTTCTACTCAAGGTATAAAGTTAAGTGACTGATTTGAGATCTTTCTTCTTTTTAAATTATAGGGTGTAAATTTCCTTTTAAGCATTGCCTTTATTGTATTTACCAGTTTTGAGATGTTGATCATACATTTGTTTATTAATCTGTAAATATTTTCTGATTTCCCTTTAGATTTCTTTTTTTACTTATTAATTGGTTATTTTCAACATATTTGCCTAATTTCCAGTTTTTCTTTAGTTGCTAATTTCTAATTTCATTCCATTATGATTAGAGAAGATTCTTTGTATGATTATAGTCTCTAAATAATTAAATAAAAAAGGATATCATTTATCCTAGAAAATTTATCCATGGACATTCGTGAAGAATGTGTATTGTGCTAATATTGGGTTGAGTGCTTTGTGAATGTCTTTCTAGTCTGGTTAGTTTATTGTTGTTGTTGTTAGAAGTTACCAAGTGGACCAGACCCCAACTCATAGCAACCTTCTCTGTAATATATTGATACCTTTCCAGATTCTCTACCATCCTCACTATTTCCATTGTCTCAGTCATTGTGTTGAATGCATTTTGTTGGGGATCTTCTGCTTCTTCATTGGCTCTTCATCTTTCCAAGCATGATGTCCCTTTTGAAAGACTGGTCCCTCTTGACACCTTGGTTGCATTTCTCTCAATATAGGTATGCTCTTTGGCATCCCTTGATATACTTCGTACCCTTCACCAGCACAACAATTCAAAGACATCAATTCCTCTTCTGTCTTCCTTATTCATTGTCCAACTTTAATATGCATGCGAAGCGATTGAAAATACCATGGTTTGGATCAGGTGTACCTTAGTCTTTAAAATGACATCATTGTTCTTTAGCATTATAAAGAATTTAAGAGTGTTGTTCAAATCCACCAGTTCTCTATTGATATTCTATATAGATAGATATATTCTGCTCAGTATAGAAAGTGGCATGTTGAAGTCTCCAACTATTATTGCCAATATTTGCATAATTTCATTTAAGACTTTGATGTTAGATGCATATGTATTTATAATTGCTTGACTCCACTACATGAATTATCCCTTCTATCATTACATAATGCCCTTCATTGTCACTTATAACAGACGTTAGTTTAAAGTCTTTTTTTGGTCTGATATTAAATAGCTCTTCCATTTCTCATTTGGTTACTGTGTATATGGATTTTCTCCCTACCCTTTCACTTTCAACCTGTTGTGTCTTTGGTTTTGAAATGTTGCTCTTATAATGGTATGATGGGTTTGGTTTGGCTTTTTTTTTTTTCAAGAATTCTGCTAGTGTCTACTTTTTGATTGGAAAATTTAATCCTTACATTTAGTGTATGGCTTAGTGGTAAGGAGTTGTGCTTCCAATTCAAAGGCAGGCAGTTCAGATCTCCCAGTTGCTTTGAGGAGATTTACAGCCTTTGGAGGAACAGCTGTGAATTGATTTTGTTCTTCAATACTGATAACCCATTTTTCTTTGTATTTCTTGAACTAATAGCACAAGATAAACTATTAATTCCTTTAAAAATAGTTGTTGTTTTAAATAATATATGGGTGTGTCGGAGACAGTGCCATTGGCACAGGATAGAGCAGGGTTTAGGGCTGTTGTTGTATACAGGGTGGCTATGAGTTGCAAGCGACATGACAGCACATAATAACAACAACAAGAAGACTCAATGAGATGGGTTGACACAGTAGCTGCAGCAGTGGTCAGGATGACCCAGGACTGGGCAGTGTTTCATTCTGTTGTACAGAGGATTGCTATGAGTTAAAACTATTTAATGGGCTCAACAACAGATTTACCAATAAAAAATACTGCAAAACTGTGTTTATAGTTGCATATGAAATTAACTTTATCTGAAACCTAAGATTTTTTTCACCTTGTACAACTTTGAGCTGCTATTTTAGTGTGGTTTCCTTTCAATCTGAAGAGGACTCCCTTTTAAGTGCTTCTTGTAGGGAAAGTTTGGTCATATTGAGCTTATTCATTTTTTCCCTTATTTGTAAATATCTCCATTTCACCCTCATTTTTTGAAGGATAATTTTTCTGGATATAGACTTGTTGGCATTTCTTTTCTTTCAGCACTTAAAATATGACATTCTGTTGCATCCTGACCTAGGCTTTCTAAAGCAGAATTGGCATATAATCTTGATGTTCTCTTGTATGTGACAATTTACTTCTCTCCTTTTTGGAATCTCTATCTTTGGTTTTTGAGAATTTGATATCATGTTACCCTCAACTCCCCACCCCCTAATTTTATTTAAATGTCTCTATTTAGGTTCCAAGTCCCAACATAGTTTTCCCATATTCATATGTTGGAGATCTTGACCTTTAGAGTTGACTGCTCTACCAGTCTGTGTTTAAAGACTGAAGTTTTGTTTTGGATTTTTTCAGACTGAAGTTTTTGATATGTAAGAATTCTTCTTGTTATAATTAAAGGTTTTCATTTAAACAGCATCTTTTCTTTGTTAGAATCGGCTAGAACAAGAAGCTGAAAAGAAGATAGTCATGTTGGCAGAGAGAGCCCATCATGAAGCTGTTATGTAAGGATCTTCTACTCCTTTTTGTGCTGATGGCCTGGCTTACCTCTGTGCTGTTTTGTCTTTCTCGTGTGTGTAACATTGTCTTTTTGCTTCTCTCCTGGCTTGTTTTCTAATTTTTTGCTCTCCTCTCCCTTGTGATTTCTTTCATTTTATGTCCCTTTTCTCTACACTCTCTGGGTAGCAGGATGGTAAGGTAGGAAAAGCATGGCTTTCATGTCAGACTTTTAACATGTACATAAACTAACCTTAGGAAAATTGATTAATTAAAAAAAAAATCAGTTTCTTCCTGTGAAGTTAATAATTACAGTTTTACCAGGTTGTAATGAAAGGTATATTCATGACAGTAACACCCAGCTGCACAATATTAAGCAAATCTCAGTATATTTGGGAGTTTATTCATTGCTCATATAAAAATCCATTGTATGTCTGTCAGCTTACCTCTAATGGTGCTTCAGGTGGTCACGCTGCTTTCTTCTTGGACCTTTATTGTCTTAAGGCCCTTTTCAACTTGTTATGTGGACAGGACAGAGATGGAAAACTCATACCTCTGTCACTCATCTTAGATTGTAAATGCCACTGCATTTTTTACTTTCCCTTTGCAGAGAATTTTGTCACAAGATTCCCACCAAATTATTGTATACCCAATATATGTCAAATAAGTCATGGCCATTGTTATTATTATTGATGGAGAGTAAAGCAATCATTATTCTAGTTTGATAGTAGCTATTAATTAGGTCTGTAATTTATAATGTTGTATTTATTTGTTTTAGGCAACTGAATAATGCTGGGAGAAATGTCTTTAAAGAGAATATTTATCTCCAGAAAGCACTCGCACACCATATGAAGGAAGCCAATGATCTGCAAAAAAATTCCCAGAGATTACAAGAAACTAAAAATTTCCTTTTATATCAAAAGGTTCTCAGTCTCACATGGATTTCTCTCCCTACCCATTAAAAAAAAAAAGAAACAGAATTGGATTGGTGAACACTAAGAGTCAGTTATAATAATGCTACAAAGAAAGAAGGACATTGTCTGATGACTTATGCTCCTTAACTTGTTCTTGTTAGATGTCATCTGGTTGACTATGATTTATGGTTACTCTGTGAACAACAGATCACATAACCTTACACTATCTTTATGATCTTTGCATTGTTGAAGCCACTGTCAGTTTATCTTGGTGAAGATCTCTTCTTTTTTGCTGACACTCTCATTTTCCCGGTATGATGTCTTTTTCCCAAGGACTCCTGATAGCATGCCTAAAGTATGTGGGACAAAGCTTAATGTTTCTTACCTCTAAGGAGCACCTTAGTTGCACTTCCTCTAAGGCAAATGTGTTGCTTCTTTTGTCAGTGCATGGATATTTAATAGTCTACCAATATCTATTCTTTGGTCTTCCTTATTCATTGTCCAACTTTCACAAGCACACACAGATGTAAAATATGGATTGGGTGAGGTGTACTTGAGTCTTAAAACTGACATTCTTGCTCTTTAGCTCTCGAAAAGAGGTCCTGAATGCAGTTTTCCCCAATGCAACACATCTTTCTGACTTCTTAACTGTTGTTATCATGGATATTGATTGTGGATCCAAGTAAAAGGAAATTATTGACAGTCTTTTCTCTATCTGTCTATCTATTGGACCAGTTGTGAGGATTTTTGTTTTCCTGATGTTGAGATATGGGAGAAAGATGGGAAGTCTCCTCCCATGTTGTTAATATGCTCTGAAACCCCACAGGGGAGTCAACTGTAATCCATTCTGACTTGATACAGTGAGTTTTGAGATATGTAATATTGTATTGATGGACCTTTCCAAAGTGCTGAAGAGCAATGATGTCAGTCTAGATGTATCTAGTACACCTAGTACACCTACTGTATTGATGGACCTTTCCAAAGTGCTGAAGAGCAATGATGTCAGTCTAGATGTATCTAGTACACCTAGTGCACCTACTCCAGGCCATGGTCTTGCCAATTACTTGTTATGCTTCAGAGAGTTGGACAATGACTAAGGATGACAGAAGAAGAAGAGATGCCTTCTAGTTGTGGTGCTGGAGAAGAGTCTTGAACATACCATGGACTACCAAGATAAGAAATAGGTCTGTCTTGGAGAGAATGAAATCAAGTCTCTCCTTGGAGGCTAGGATTTTGAAGCTCTGCTTCACTTACTTTGGGCACGTGGCCAGGAGAGATTGGTCCTTGGAGAAGGACATCATGCTTAGAAGGGTGGACAGACAGCGCAGGAGAGAAAGACCCTGGATGGGATGGATTGATACAGTGACTGGGGCAATGGGTGTTGGCGTGTCAGAATTAGTGAGCCTGGCTCAGGACAGGGAAGGGTTAATTGGGTTGTTATGCATTGCAGGTGACTCAATGGCACATAACAGCAATAACCTACTATAACAGGTTTGGAAGCAGGAGTGGCATCCATTTCCTAAACAACATGTCTCCAGAAACTTTGATAAATGTTGATAGTTGTAGAGGGGGTTCAGGCCTTTTGTTCATAGGGTCACTATGAGTCATGCTCGACTCAAAGGCAATCAACAACAACAACAATGTGAATTGAAGGTTGTAGTCTTTGATCTTCTTTAAGTGCTTCAAGTCTTCTTCACTTTCTGCATGCAAAGTTGTGTCATCTATGTAACACGTATTGTTGATGAGCCTTCCTGATGCTGTATACTTCTTAATAAACCCAATTTCTCTAATGATTTGATCAGCATACAGGTTGAACAGGTAGAGAGAAAAGATACAACCTTGACACACACTTTACCTAATTTTAAACCACATAGTATCCCCTTGTTCTATTGGGATGATTGCTTCTTGGTCCAATACACATTGATTTGTTTGTACTTTCAGCAGTTCCTAGGACATTCAGTGGTCTTTACCAACAACACAATGGAAGGGCATTGATTCTGTCTTGGTCTTCCTTAGTCACTATCTAACTTTCATATGTATATAAAGCAATTGAATATCCCAATTGTTAATATTTTACTGTGCAGTCTTGCTGATTTTAGAATTATCCTTTGATAATGCAAAAGATCTAATTTTAAAGAAAAGTAAGTTTCTTAATTGTCAAAAAGCCCTGAGTTGCCTTTATAAGACCCTAGTATGATAGCCACAATAGGCTATTGTGTGTCAGGAAGTGTGAGGATGGAGCAGGATTCAGAACGGGGTTCAGATCTTTTGTTTATAGGGTCACTATGAGTCCTATTCAGCTTGACGGTACCTAACAACAACAATTCACAGTATATTACCAACTTCAGTCAGGAACTTTTGAGTTCTGGAATTATTAATGAAAAAAACCCACAACTAGCCTATACCTCTCTCATAATTCATTGTGTGTGTGTGTGTGTTTGTTTCTTTTTTAAAGGAAATCAATGACCTGTTGGTTAAGGAAAAAATTATGCAACTTAAGCAGCAGAAATCACAAATACAAACTCTCCAGAAAAAAGTATTAAGATTGGAGACTGCCCTGATTTCTATGACGAAAGAGTTTGAAGCTGAAGTTTTAAGACAGCAGAAACAAGCAATAATAGAGAACCAGTCAGGTAAGGTAGAACTTGACAAACTACAGCATCTTCTTCAGATGAAGGACAAGGAAATGAATCGCGTGAAGAAGTTGGCCAAGAACATATTGGATGAGAGAACAGAGGTAGAAAAATTCTTTTTGGATTCTCTACACCAAGTGAAGCAACAGATCTTGCTCAGCAGAAAACGTTATAAGCAGATAGCACAAACTGCCTTCAATTTAAAAATGAGGGAAGCATGTGCAGGAAGGACAGAATATCCCAAAATCCGAACATTTGATGGCAGAGAGCACAGCACCAATAATGTGAATGAAGATCTTATAGAGGCTGAGAAATGGTACTGATAATGCTTTAATAAGTTTGTTTTTTTTCAAATTGTGATTTGAGTGAAAGATTATATTCTTTATATTTATATGCTGTTATTTTCATGCCTGTTGGTGAAAGAAGAACTCTGAAACTTTCAGATTTATAATAGTTAAATATTGAGTAGATAATATATTAAGTTACTGAAGGACCGGAAGTGACTGCTTGTAACTCCTGTGCTCAGCATAGTGTGTAGAGCTAAGTAGGTATTCTGTGGATGTGTCCTCCTCCTGCTCTGGGCTTCCTGACAAGACATTTGTTAAAGAGAAGATCATTTGACTCATAGAATGTCACTGTATTAAGTTTTGGCTTGTTTTGTTTCCTATAAATTAGAAATTAGTTAGAAAAGCTTGATTAGATTAAGTTTAAACATTTTGATATAAGCATCCTTCATAAATATTTTGTAATATGTCTTTTACTACCTTGAAATGAAATATGTAAGTTATAATATCTAACTAAGCATTTAATTGAAAATATTAATACAATGCTGAAAAGTTTATAGTTGTTTGTTGTATAGAACTTTCTCTTGTTTGGAAGGGTAGCCAGCGGTGCTCTCCCATCATTGTATTAACCAAAAGTCCCCACAGGCTTCCCAAATACCATCTAGAAATCTATGCCACTTTAATAAAGGTAACAGTATGCTTGAGATAGCTGCTGAGTATATATAGTGATTAAATGCCATAGTATTTTTTTTACTAAAGAACTCTCCCCTCCTTAAACTTGGATTAAGTGATAATACATTTTGAAGATTATTTTGAAAAAATTAATTTATATTTCAAAACAATTGAATTCTTCAAAGGCTCTAATTCAAGAAACTGAAAAGCACTTCCATTATTTTATATATTTATAATCTGGTGGCATAGTCTGTAGGAACTTGTACTGCTAACTCAAAGCCATAACTCTCTGGCAGTTTGAATTCACCAGAAACTCCATGGATGAAAGATGGGAAATCATCTCCTATGTGATTTACAGCCTTGAAAACCCTGAGGAAGTTCAGCCTTGAGTCAGTTCTAACTCAGTAGTAATGAATCTGAGTTATACATATACATACCATCATGATCTCTTAAGAGGGTCTTAGGTATGTAATTGAAAAGAACCTACAAAACAGTCTATTAAAAATCACATAC